CGCCTTGTACTTGTCGATCGAGCCATCGGCGAGAGTTTTGATGCGAAAAACCCATTTGCCGCTGAGAATTTTCCTCCCCTTTGCCGATGACCGTGGGACCAGCTTCCAGGTGCCGCGCTTCTTCAGCGACGCGATTTCGGCGGCCATGGCTGCTCTCCATTTGTCGCTGTCGGGGCCAGACAGGGCTTGGCGGACGGTGGTGGGTTCCTTGGGCGAGGTGTGGCGAACTGCAACGGCGAGGCCGAGAACCCGAAGACCGGTTTCGTTGGTCTTTTCGTAGAGAAGACGGTCGTAGTCATGGTAGCTGGTAACTTCGACCACGTCGTCATCACTGTCGTTGCCGAGGCGGAGGGTGTCTTGCGACAGGTTGGGTTGTGGTAACTCGGCATCGGGTGATCGGCGCGTTGCGCTGTTGTAGTTGTGAGCTTCGCGTGTTATATCATCCGGATCGGGTTGGTGTACGGGCACGAATGTCGGAGTTCCGAGTTGGCTCGTAAGGGGGATGTTTGGAGCAGAGTCCATCTGGGTGACATCAGGTGCGTCTGCATCCTCGGCCAGGTCAGCTTCGTCGTGTGACGTGGCGAAGCTGCGGTGGCCCTCGAAGAGCCTCTCGAGCAGTTTGTCAGCTTCCTGGTGCTCCTTAAAAAGGGGCAGAGTCAGCTTCTCGTAGAAGATGCAGTCACGTGATTTTGTCACCTCGTGTGTCGCGTAGTCCAGTACGATCCACGCCTTGAATTCCTTTTCGATTCCGAGATGGATGCCCCATCGTGCCCGGTCTGCAAATTTTCCCGTCCGCGCAGCATGGGGTCTGTACTGTACCATGCACCCGAACACCCGAAGTAGGCGTGTATCTGCTTTTCTGCCCGTCCATGCCCGGTAGGGAGAGTTGTTGTCCTTGAGGCTTCGCGAAGACAGCAAGTTATGGAGCCGAACAGCATGATTCATCGCAAATGGCCAAAATTTGGTTGGGATGGCCGACTGCTTCATCAGAGCCCTCATCCGCGTGGCGAGGCTCCTGTTTGTCCGTTCTGCTACACCTTGCTGCTGGTGGGCGTAGGGCAGAGACACCAGGTGCTCGATCCCCTTCTGCTTGAAGAGCTCTTCGAACTCGTCCGAGAAGAACTCCAGGGCTCCGTCTGTCTGCCAGGCCTTTAGCTTTAGCCCAGACTGTCGCTCAGCCCGCTTCATCCACGCAATGAAGCACTCGAAGGCCAGTGACCTAGAGTCGGTGTTGATGGCCCAGACGTAACGCGTAGAGGCGTCAATGAAGGTTAGCGTGTACTGCTCCCCGTCGAGTCCTTCTTGGCTGAGTACCATGAAGTCGCTGTAGACCTTATCCAGCGGTTTGTAGCGCTCGTACCCTGGTGGTAAGTCTGGGAATGGTTGGTGGTTGAGGGATGCAGTCGGGCAGACGATGCACGGCGGATTGGGAGAGTCCGCGGTGAGGGAACCGTCTCGGGGGAGGAGAAGTGCTTCGTCATCGAAAACTCCGGCCTTGAGTGAGTTTTTGAGTGTGGCGTGAGAGGGGTGTCCAAGCCGTTGGTGCCATGTTGCTGGGTCCGCACGGTAGCCGACTGTTTTCTGATAATATTTTTGCCGTGCTGCCTCGTCGTTTGCCTCCCCTTCAAATCCTGTGTCAGCGGCGTTGTCCGTTTCGGCGGCGAGTGCGCGAATTGCGTTTCTTTCCAAAAGCGCGCGGGGAATACCGATGATGTCGTCGGTATCGCCAGCTTCGGCTTGGTCTCCGGTGACAAGTAGGCATCGATCGGGCCAGTCCCGAGCGGGGAGTCCCGTCATGGGGATCCTGTAGTAACTGTATTCAGCACCAATGACTTCAATTTCTTGGGGTCCTTGTACCGGCGGCTCTGGCTCCTCGGTAGGTTCAGGTAATTCCGCTGGTCCCCCCATGAATTCGTAGGTCTCTTCTTCCTCTGACTCTTCTGGCATTGGTTCGGGTGTGTCAGGGGCGTACTGATCCGGAAGAGGAGGACCTCCCCAGCAGGTGCCGCGAGTTGCCCAGTACGGGTCGATGATGGCTACTTCCGCGGGAGGAAGGCCGGCTGCTACAGTGTGCCCTTGTTCCGCCTCGCCCGAAGTGCCCCAGCCTCCCCCGGCGCTCCACGTGTCTCCGGTGGTCCTTGCTTCTCCGACTTCTGTGTCTTTGACTTCTGCGCCAACTTCCCCAGATGGGGCAGGAGGAGTCCAGCCAGTGCCACCTTCTACGGCTGGGGTAGGGGGAGTTCCTCGGCCTGTCGCAGCAATATCTTCTGTTGCGACGGCACCCCATCCGCTTGTGGCCGCTTCCTCTGGAGTTAGGACTTCGCCCCAAGATCCAAGTGCAGGTCCGGAAGTATCCCAGCCTGTCCAGCGCGTTTCCGCCGGCGTGTTTTCCTCGGCAGGTTGTGTTGTGGGGCCTGACGTGCCACTGTCTTCCTCCATTGTGGCAGGTCCGGTCTCAGCAGGATTCGAGGTCGAGGCGGTCGGGATAGTGCGCAGGCGCAGAAGGCCGTCAGAGGCGGGTCGCTCGAGGTCCATCTCGTCGGGATGTGACCACGTTGGCGCCTCCGTGGGAGTCGTTTTTAGGAGCAGCGTGCGGTGGGAATCGCCGGTTGTGCCCTGAGCCGAGAACTGCAGCACGAAGACTCCGTCGTCGTCGATCGCCTTTCCGATGTAAGAGTCTTTTAGAGTTGCGGTTGCTGCGGATGTCGATTCCGCATCGCATGAGTTGAGCTGACGAGAGAAGGTTGTATTGGAGATCTGGCGCAACGAGGACGTCTCCAATGTGAATGGTAAATTTTGTGTCATTCGCCTCGAGGTAGATCTCCCCAATCTCATGTGCCTTCATTTTTCCGTTGTTGGCCGCAGTGATTTCGCAGGGTCGTCACATGCGCCGAGAGTTGCTGATAAACCTTGATGAGCCCACCATGTGTTGCCCGCAGCAACTGTCGAGGTACCAGGTGTCCAGATCCTCGTGGCGCTGGCGGGCAAGGTTGGCGATCTTGGGCGTAATGATGCGATCGAAGTCGAGAGGTGTACGGCGAGAGAGCGAAATATCTACTTGCGGGAATGCTCGGCGGCGATTCCGGAGTAGGAGGAGGAAGCTCGAAGTCAGGAGGGATGTCTGAAGGGCGAGTCGACCAGGTAGAAACCGTTGGGTCGTTATCTGAGCTGGGCGCAACGGGGGTGGGGTTGTCGGAAGGGAATGAAATTCGATCCCGATCCCAGTAGCGGAACCCTCTGCTGCGGCGAGCCATGCAGCTTATGACCGTCCCTTTCCCTTTGTCCTTTGCCGAAATGACCGCAGGGGACTGAGAAGTACTGGCGACCGAGGGAGGCGACACAGTGGAGGTTGCGGTGGCAAGCTTGGATTGAGCTGAGGGTTGCTGGTTGGAGGCGTTGCGCCGTTCATCAGCAGCCTGACGCTTGTAGCACTGGTCGATGGAGTGGCCAGACTTCTTGCAGTATTTGCAGAAAGCTCCCTTCTTTCCGCGTTGCTCCCCTTGGGATCCTCCTGTGTAGAAGGCTAATTTTTCCCGCTTGACGTTCTTCTCGTTGTACAGGTCGATCTCCTTTTGCTCTGAAAGAAGCGTGGCGCACAGAGCCGACTCCGATATGGTTGCTCGGGCGCGAAGGAGTGACTGGCACTGACGCCAGTCGGGGCCAAGGCCTGAAATGACCATTGAGATGAACATGTCGTCGGGGACAGAACCACCGCACTTCTTGACTTGATCGCGCAGATTGCGGCACCGATTAACATACGGTCCCGCTTTCTCCCCTTGCTTCATTTTAACCGAAGTTAGTTGACTGAGCAGGCGACTCATAGTGACTGGATCTGTTGCCATGTATGAGTTGCGCAGGTGTTCCCAGGATGCGTGCGCGGGAGCCCACTCCGTCTTGTACGGACGAATGCCGAGCTGCTCTTCAGGTGAGAGATTGCGAAGGAGAGCGGTGTACGCGAGAAGTGATTCGTGGTAGTACTGATGCTTCTCCTGGATGGTGCCTTCCGAGGGAAAAGGCAGACTTCCGTCGTAGTACATCCAGATCTGAGCGGTTGTCGCAAGAAGCTCGAATTCGAAGCTCCACGTGTAAAAATCCTTCCCGTCGAAGGGAATTGAGGTCTTCAATTTTGAAGTCAGTACAAATTTGGTTTGCATTGAAGCGATGTCTGACTGCGACCGTTGTGGGTTGTCTTGTGCAGGAGCTGACCCTTGACGATTGTCAAAGGTGAAGGATCTCTCGGAGTTGACGCGGCGGTCTTCTCCAGGGAGAGGAAGTCCAGCAACTCCACGTGCATAGCTTGAGCCATCAATGCTCATAGCCTGATGGCTTTCAAGAGCGTTGACGCGTGCAACTAGCTGCTCAACGACAGCGGCGTTGACGGAGGTCACCGCTGATGGCGCGTTAGTAGTTGCTGGTGGTGGGCCCGGTGAGTCTGCAGTAGCTTTCCCTTCAGGAGCCATAGTGTTGCAGACCTTAAAATGTGATAATTGATTTTATGAAAGGATTGTTCTAGGAAGAACGAGGGCTTGACAGATCCTATAATCCACTCTAGCTCTCATACCATGCTGATACAACCAAAGGATCAGTGGATAGGATAGAATGTGTTAAGCCTGAGAGGAGACAGTAAAGTCTCTGTAGTGACCTTGTTGAGTAATTGTTAAGGAGAACAAGATGATTAAGGAGTAGGAATACAAGTGATTAAATAGCAAGCTATCTAGCCATGTACTCTGAGGGGTACATTCCCTTATTAACTGTATTGCATAGCTACAGTAACCACGACTATTGCCATTCTCGACAGTTACCGTGTTGTAGTCTGTTAACTGTCGCGCAGTTACTGGATCGTCAAGGGTCACGACCGTTGACTATCTTAGACGGTTGACCTTCGGGTGTCCCTCGAGATTCCGCGTGCTCTGTATGAGCTAATGCGGTACTAGCACAGTGGGGCAACTTCGGGAATGCCTTTATATCCTTTCGGTTATTCCAACAGATGGGAGAGGAGATCACGATGGGAGGGATGGGAGATGGCGATGGCGAGGGCTCAGGACGACGGGAGGGCGACGGTATAGCGAGGGCGCTGGGATTGCCACGGGATGGCGAGGGCGAATGGGATGGCAACGGGAAGGAAAGGGAGATGGCGGTGCGAACGTGGGAAGGGACGGGAGACGGCGATGGCGAGGGGAAGGGATGGGAGACGGCGATGGCGAGGGGAAGGGATGGGAGACGGCGATGGCGAGGGGAAGGGATGGGAGACGGCGAGGGCGAGGGGAAGGGATGGGAGACGGCGAGGGCGAGGGGAAGGGATGGGAAACGGCGATCACGATTGTAAGGGCGATCGCGACAGGAGGGCTATAGGAAGGCGTAGGAGGCCGATGGGAAGCGGACGGAAGGGCGACCGGAAAGCGATGAGAGGGCGACGGGAGCGCGATGGGAGGGCGACGGGAGCGCGACGAGGGCGACGGGAGCGCGACGAGAGGGCGACGGGAGGGCGACGAGAGGGCGACCGGAAAGCGATGAGAGGGCGACGGGAGCGCGACGGGAGGGCGACGGGAGCGCGACGAGAGGGCGACGGGAGGGCGATGAGAGGGCGACGGGAGCGCGATGGGAGGGCGACGAGAGCGCGACGAGAGGGCGACGGAAGGGCGACGGGAGGGCGACGGGAGGGCGACGGGAGGGGCGACGGGAGCGCGACGGGAGGGTGATGGGAGGAAGTGTGGTAGGAAGTAATTACAAGGTGAAAGCGAGGCCACTGTATGTGCCATTTTTTCTTGGATAGGACAGAGAAACATAGGCTCTTGGCTACTATGTGCTTGGCAACGTGAGAAGGAAAGCGGAAATAAGCACATGTGGAACCCAGGCCCAGCTTGAACCTGGAGGTTGGACCCAAAGATGAAAACTAGCGACAAGCAACCGTCGTGCGAGTGCAGCACCAGAAATGCGTCATCGCCTGACGTGCGCAAAAAAAATTACTTTGGTGGGAACCAATCACATGAGTTCGATCTGAAGACACGAGAATGTTTGCAACAGTCTTTTACCGACCCAGTTTCGTCCTCGCCTGACCCCGTCAGAATACGTTTTCAAGCTGGGTCGGGGTTCACAATTTTATATTTCAGTTTTAATGTGCATCTAGTCTCAGTTTTTCATAGTTTTTTTCGTCTACCTATGCTTTGTAAAAGTCACACTCTTAACTCACCATCTGGGATTTTTCATACGGTGGATCCCTCTTGAGCTTGACGGGACGGGGTTCTGCTTGGAGGGGGGTTCATTCCTCGTACGGTTCGGGTTCATGCTGATCTGCCGTGTTGTAGGTGGTCCAGACGGTCTGAATGTACGATGCAAGCAAAATGATACGCTTCTGTTACCACCTCGCTGTCGCAATTCCGAAAGCACGGGCGTTTCGCCAGCCCTATTATGCAGCGAGTGTCTGGTGCCGCTAGTTGCAGCCACGTGGAATCGCCACCAATGACTCGCATCTGGCCAATTGCTGGTTGGAGCCTGTGCCCTGCCGTAACCACTCGGCGGCCTGCATACATTTCGCAACCACTCGTCTTGTGGGATCACGAATCTTCCGTACAATGACGGCCATTCAGAGGTGTCTCCCTTTGTTCACCAGTCTGTTTCCTATTTTCGTTTCCGCGTCACCCAAATCACGTTTCTGCATCGAGGCCCGAAGTTCCTGGTACACCCTGATGCTCACTCAACCGCCCATTCTGAACACGCTCACTACCACTCCATACGCCCAGTGGTCGACATTCACTGCCAACGGCCCGCGCGTTACTAGCCCACGGCAAAACCAAGATATTTTTGACCTCGAATAAGCTATACGAGTTTCCCAGACAAGACACGCTGGGCTACCCAGATACTGTCCCATTCTCCCCGTAGCGAGTGCGCGCTCGAAAGAGGAGCACAGAGAAAGATGGGGAACGAAACTGAAATGGGAATCAGGTGTATAGTTACGAAAGACGCGGAAGGAAGGTCTTCGAAGTTCAGAACCGAAATATTTCTTCCTGACCTTGGGATTAGGTCGAGTCTTTCATTTTATTTTTCTCAATACCCATCCTGACCAGTCCGAACATCAATTTGACCGTTGTAGAGCGTGAGATATCGCATTAAGCCGTATTCAAACGAACGAAAAAGACCCACCCTTACTGTCGGACAAAGTTTCCTCTCTTGGAAACTTTGTGCGAAGTGACTGCCCTTGGGATTGTACTGCCGCGATTTCCCTCATCACCTTGTTCTTCGTCAAGTTCAGATTCCACCAGCAGCTATAGCGTTTAGCGATTCCGTCCGCACCTCCACCGATGCGTTGTGTCTGGATAGGTCAAGGCGAGTCGCTCGTTGCTCACATAAGGTCAATAGCATATTGCAGTAGACAACTGAGGGTTGCGTTTGCCGTCTTTAGTTCCATGCTGAACAAGAAAATAATCTGCTTGTTTTACTATGCATACATGTGGCATTTCACTCCCGCCATAAGATCCGACATGCAACACCTTCTAGCAGACAAGAGAGATGCTGTTACAGCTTGACTCCGTCTGTCTTTAATGCTATTAACTTAATTATTTATTGGATAGCTGTTCATTCATCAAGACGAGATGAAGTCAGCTAAAGTATACGGAGCACCTCGCTTCGCAGACACCGCAATGCGTCCCGTGTCAAACAGGGAGACTGAACAGGTCAGCGTCGCAGTGAAATGGACGGGAAAAGTACTCTCTTCTTTCCTCCTTCTATTCGACACTTTGCCTGCCACGAGAGATGAAAGCCCTACGTTTATACCAGTAATTCCCAATCCAACCCGCGCAGGCTATTATCGCTATGAAAAAAGGGAGTCGGCTGTTAAAGTACTCCCGGCTTGGCAGGCCGCGAGCCTGCTACTTACGGGTCACAACGGTAACATCCCCTCACATTTTTCATAGCGCATTTTCCTACCTAGAGATCTGATTCTCGAAGCTTTGCCTGACATGGTTTCGCCATTCCTGCCGACGCAGGACGAGTGCGACCTCGTATACATTTCCGGCGACCGCGAGAAAACTTTTCCTCTGGCCAACGTCAGTCAGATTCTCTGGGGCCAGCGAACGGTACGGATTTCTCAAGATAGTTACTCTTTAGGGACTTAATTGCTGCGCCGCGCGTGTTTCCCTCGTTTTTAAGCTCCCCTAACCTGCCGCGCGCTCACGCGATTCCCTGTGGATGCTCATTCCATCCATGTGTGCTGATTGTGTGCGCCAGGGCAGTTTCGCCCGGTCGTCCAGAAGCGACAAGGACAACCAATCCTTCTCCCTCATCTTCAGCGAGGGCGAACGACCACTCGACGTGGTACGTATAAGCTTCCTTTCCCAGGGAACCTGCTGTGCAAAGGTGCTCTTTTATTCTTGTACAAAGAAATAAATACACTGTAAATCTCAGCACTTGCCTCTGGTTGGTCGTCCAGAAGCGACAAGGACACCCAATCCTTCTCCCTCATCTTCGGTGAGGGAGAACGACCACTCGACATGGTACGTACTACGCAAGCACATTGTGTATCTCATACTTACCTCTGCGCTTGCCTTACAATTCTTTCCATGTTCTTTTTGTCTGAAACGTTCTGCTTCTCAAGGGATGTGGTGCACCGGCCTGTATACTCTGGTAAGGAGGCTTGGCTTGTAAGGTTTCCTGCAGATGGGGAAGGACAAAGAGGAGGCGGAGAGGAAATGACAACACGCATCATGCATTTGAGACTCATGTAAATCCTCATTCCTCTGCAGGTATGGAAGGACACGGAGGAGGCAGAGATGTGGTACACGGGTTTGCGTGTTCTGGTGGAGAGGAACCGACGACCCAAATCAGAGCGGCTAGGGTTGAGCCACCGGCGATCTACCTCCATGTCCCTGGATGAGTTTCGAGAGTGGTCTCCCGACATGTCCCCCTTCCGACAGAGAGTAGAGGTAACCTTCTGGCAGACAGACAAGGGGCTGCCTGCGTGTTCAGGACGAGAGTGGAGAGAGATCGTTAGCACATTTCAGAGCGGCTAGGGTTGAGGCACCGTCAATCTGCCTCCATGTCCCTGGAGGAGGTTCGAGAGTGGTCTCCTGACATGTCCCCCTTCTGACAGAGAGAAGGGGTTGGCTACTGTCAGAGAGACAGTGGGCTTCCTGCGTGTTCTGGGCGCCTAGGGTTGAGCCACCGTTACTCAGCCTCCATGTCTCTGGATGAGGTTCGGGAGTGGTCCCCGGACATGTCCCCCTTCCGACAGAGAGTAGAGGTAAGCTTCCGCCAGGGGCTTTGATTCTCCCTCTGATTCGCCAGGTAGGCTTCCGCCAGGGGCTTTGATTCTCCCTCTGATTCGCCAGGTAGGCTTCCGCCAGGGGCTCTGATTCTCCCTCTGATCCGCCAGGTAGGGTTCCGCAACCCTCTTTATTCTCCTTATCCCATTTCACGCTCTCGCCCTCTCATTCTCATCTTCCCTTCCTTCGTTCCTTAATTTACCGCCTGCATCTGTCCCTTCCCCGCTCCCGCCTTCCCCCATCCTCAGTCATCCGCCCCAGTGGAACCCAATGAAAGCGGCAGCCTTGCCGACTTTCGAAGCCCCCCTGAGACGAGAGGCACAGGGAGTGGCGTGGGCACTGGCATGGACACGGGCGCAGGAGCAGAAGGGGGAGCAGGAGCAGGAGGAGGAGGAGCAGGTACAGGTACAGGCACAGGCATGAACGTTTCCAGATCGGCACATGACATGTCGTCTCTGCATGAGAGTTTTCTCGGAAGAGGTTCCCTGTTTCCCGGAAGCACAAACACTGTAAGGGGAGGCTCATCAATGTCTGGGTCTGCCCGGACGTTTCCTGGAAGCTGCAGCACGAACCAGCCATGCAGTGAAGCAGGGACGGACGTCAGTGACTTGGACGATTTCTCAGACACGCTGTCTCTTGGCGGTGTTTCTGTGCAGTCCCAACCTCCTTCCACCACCACTAGCAGCACCACCACCACCATCGCCACCACCATTGCTACCATTTCACCATCCGTCCCCTCCTCCACCTCGGCTACTGCCACCACCACAACCGCAGCAAATACTAGTGCTGCTGCCAATGCCAGCAGTTCTAGCCCTGCAGGTGCCAACTTTCCGTATGCAGCAGCGCCCCCTGGGCACAGCACAGCCATTCCCTCTTCTCGGTCAGCCGATCGCACCGAATTGCTCCCCGGGCTGCCCGTGAAAGGTTTTTACACTGGGTCGAGCGACGGGTCTGCGTATTTACCCAGTGCCACGAGCAGCAGTACAGGGGACGACGGGAGTGAGGTTCTGGGGGATTTGTTCATGTGGGGAGAAGGACTGGGCGATGGGGCGTTAGGAGGGGGTGGATTGAGGAAACGCGGGATAAGCAGCGCAATTCCAATCCCCGGATTTGATTCTGTGGTGCCGAAACAGTTGGATTCAGGGGTGGTGCTGGATGTGTGCCACGTGGCATGTGGGGAGGGGCATGCAGCGCTGGTGACGAGGCGAGGGGAGGTGTTCTGCTGGGGGGAGGAGGGAGGGGGGCGGCTGGGGCAGGGGCGTGAGAGAGACTTGGAACACCCGACGCTGGTAGAGGGTCTGGATGGGATCCCTATGGATGAGGTGAGTGCATGGTTGTGAATGGGGTGAGGTGAGTGCATGGGGTGAGATGGGTGCATGGGGGCTGGGCTGGGACAGCGCAAGAGGGACTTGGAACACCCGAAGCTGGTAGAGGGTCTGGATGGGATCCCCATGGATGAGGTGGGTGAATGGGTGAGATCCGTGAATGGGGTGGGGATAGTGAATTGAGCGGGATGGGTGAATGGGGGTGGAGTGAGCGACTGGGGTGGGGTGAGTGGATGGGGGTGGGGTGAGTGGATGGGGGTGGGGTGACTGGATGGGGGTGGGGTGAGTGGATGGGGGTGGGGTGAGTGGATGGGGGTGGGGTGAGCGAATGGAGGTGGGGTGAGCGAATGGGGGTGGGGTGAGCGAATGGGGGTGGGGTGAGCGAATAAGGGTGGGGTGAGTGAATGGAGCGAGGTGGGTGTATAGGAGTGGGGTGAGTGAGTGAATGGGGTAGCTGCTTCTTGCAGCGATTAGGTTACCTATGTAGCATACCCCGTTCTCCCTTGTCCTCCCCCATCTTCCCCCATCTTCCCCCATCCTCCTCCCATCCTCCCCTCATCCTTTCCCCATCCTCCCCCCATCCTCCCCACATCCTCCCCCCATCCTCCTCCCATCCTCCTCTCATCCTCCCCTCATCCTCCCCCTATTGTCCCCCCATCGTCCCCTCCCCCATCCTCCGCCCATCCCGCAGGCCGCTTGTGGCAGTTTCGTCACACTTGCTCTCTCAAGAGCAGGGGAGGCGTTTCTCTGGGGGATGGCCACAGGGGCAGGGGCCTTCTGGGATCTATTTTAGAAGCGCCGAAAAAAAGAAGTCCTCGCATCCTCCCCTCATCCTTTCCCCATCCTCCTCCCATCCTCCCCCCATCCGTTAGGTCGCCTGTGGCAGTTTTGTCACACTCGCTCTCTCCAGAGCAGGGGAGGCGTTTCTCTGGGGGGACGGCCGAAAGGGCAGGGGCCTTCTGGGGGAGGGCGGATACGAGGACATGCCTCAGTGGGTGCCCAGGCGCGTGGGGGGAGCTCTGGACGGGTTGTATCTGGTGCAGGTGGCATGTGGGCCGTGGCACGTGGCGGCTGTAGCGGCTACAGGCCAGCTGTTCACGTTTGGAGATGGGACGTTTGGAGCGCTGGGGCATGGGAACTGCGAGTAAGCACTTATTTGGCGATTTCCTTTGCCTCCCTCCCTCCTTTCCCACCCCTCCCAATCCCTCCTCTCGCCCACCTCCCTCTTCTCCAACCCCTTGTATTCCCTCCCCCCGCCCTCCTATCCCCATCCTGCCCCAACACCTCCCTCTTGTCGCTCTCCCCCTGTATCCCCAGTGCGTCCACTCCACCCCCCTTTGTTTCCCACACCGATCTACCCCATTCTCCGCACAAATAAGTTTCTCTCTCCCCCCGTCCCCCTTCAACCCCGCTGCAGCATTGTTTCATCCCCCAAGGAGGTTGAGTCGCTGCGAGGCACGCGGGTGTCCCGCGTTGCCTGCGGCGTGTGGCACACAGCAGCAGTCGTGCATGCTCCCAGCTCTGCAAGCTCAAGCACTGCAGCACCAAGCGAGGCTGCCACAACCGCCCCAGGAGTAACCAGTGAAGGCGATTCCGCTGGAGCAGGAGCAGCAGTTGCAGCAGACGCAGCAGTAGCAGCAGTAGCAGCTGGAGTGGCAGGAGCGGGAGCAGGGGGAGCAGGGGGAGCTGGGGCCAGCATGGCAGGGGGTGTGACAGCAGGCGTAGTAGCAGGGGCGTTTGAAGGCGGGAGGCTGTACACGTGGGGTGATGGGGATAGGTACAAGCTGGGGCATGGCGACAAGCAGCAGCAGCTGCTGCCCAAGGCAGTAGACACTCTCAGCCAAGTTGACATCTCCCAGGTAGAATATTCCTGCCATCCCTCCAGCTTCAATCCCTCCCCCTGCCATGATGCCACCCCTCCCCATGATGCCACCTCCCCCCTTGCCATCCATACCTCCCCTTGCTCCCCATAACCCTGTACCCCATTCCCTTCCGTCCCCTGGCATTCTGCATGTGGGCGAGTTTTGAGAATTTTCAAAACTCTCATAAGGCATGCGGGCAGGACATCACAGTGGCGCTCACACCATCAGGCCTTGTTTACGCCATGGGCTTACCCCACCTGCGCCCATATCCGCCCCTTCCTTCCCTTCACTTGGGCCCCATTCCCTTCCATCCCTCCCTTGCTTGCTCCCCATACCCTCCCATACTCTGGCAGGTGGCATGCGGGCAGGATATCACGGTGGCGCTCACACCATCAGGCCATGTGTACGCCATGGGGTTGTCCCACCTGTTCCCCATATCCTGCCCCTTCCATCCCTCCCCTGCCTGCCCCCATACCCTGCCATCCCATGCCCGTTCTTCCCCTGGCAGGTGGCATGCGGGCAGGATATCACAGTGGCGCTCACACCATCAGGCCATGTGTACGCCATGGGGTCAGCAGCGCATGGGCAGCTGGGGAACCCACAAGCAGACGGCCACAGCCCAGGTAGGTAGCATGTGGGTGGGAGGAGGTATGCGTGCATGCATGTACGGCCAAAGCATCACCCAATCAGGCCATGTGTACGCCATGGGGTCAGCAGCTCATGGGCAGCTGGGGAACCCCCAAGCGAATGGCCACACCACGGGTATGTGGCAGCTGATGGCAGCACTTTTTATGGATGTGCAAGTCATCTCATTAGCAGGCAATGTGTAAACTTTCAGCTTAGCAGTTCACGGTCAGCTGGCCCAGGCAGTCACATAAGCGCTGCTTTTCCCATCTTCCCCTCTCCCATCGCTCTCCTTCCCAGCCCTTGTGTCCGGGCCCCCATTATTTAAACAAATCGAGCAGATAGCCTGTGGTACCCACCACACAGCAGCGCTCACGGCAGCATCAGACCTCTCCTTTAACTCCAACCTCCCCCTTCTCCCCATCCCCCTTTCCCAGCCCTTGTGACCGGACCCCCATTATTTAAACAAATCGAGCAGATAGCATGCGGCACGCACCACATAGCAGCCCTCACAGCAGCTTCAGACCTCTTCACATGGGGCCAGGGCAATCACGGGCAGCTGGGGCATGGGGACGTGCGGGACAGAGAGGTCCCCACGAGGGTTGAAGCCATCAAAGACCAACGTGTGCTGTCGGTGAGTCATTGAGTCAGTGGTGTGGGGCGTGGAGGGTGGGGCGTGGAGGGTGGGGCGTGAGGGTGGGGCATGGAGGATGGGGCATGGAGGGTGGAGCATGGGGGTTGGGGCATCAAGATGGGGAATGGTGGGTGGGGCGTGGAGGTTGGAGCATGGGGGGTGGGTGGGGCACGGAGGGTGGGGCGTGGAGGGTGGGGCGTGGAGGGTGGGGCGTGGAGGGTGGGGCGTGGAGGGTGGGACGTGGAGGGTGGGACGTGGAGGGTGTCCTTTTCTATACTCACTATCACTCCCTCTCTCCATCCATCTCAGGTGTCCTGTGGTGTGGGCCAGCGAGTACAGCAGTGGTGTGTCAGCACGGGCACGCACAGGGCTCAGACCACCACCGCTCCTCCTCTCACCCTGTCATTTTCCCTATCCCCTCCCTCCCTATTCCCTCTCACATTACCCTTCACCTCAGGTGTCCTGTGGGCCAGCCAGCACAGCAGTGGTGTGTCAGCACCGGCACGCACAGGGCTCAGACCACCACCACTGCACGATATATATACCGTTTCTCACTCACTCTGTCTCCCTCTACTCACTCTTTCAATCATGCCCTTCATCTCAGGTGTCCTGTGGGCCAGCCAGCACAGCAGTGGTGTGTCAGCACCGGCACGCACAGGGATCAGACCACCACCACTGCACGCTCTGCCGCCAGGCCTTCTCCTTTGCTCGCATCCGCCACCACTGCTACAACTGCTCCCTCCCCGTCTGCCACGCCTGCAGCCCTCGCAAGCTGCTTGGAGCAGCTATGGCTCCGACTCCTACCCGTCCTTACCGTGTGTGTGACACGTGCTTTAACAAACTGAGTAAGGCTTCTGCAGGCAGCAGTGGCAGTACCAGCAGTACCAGCGGCATCAGCAGCAGCAGCAAGATGAGTAAGGGCTCTAGCGGTAGTATCAGTACCAGCGGCAGCATGAATCTGAAGAGCAGTAGCAGCACTGGCAGCAGTATCAGCAGCAGTGGTAGTCTAGGAGGCATGGGAAGCGGTGGCGGAGCAGGGGTGGGTAAGGCTGGGCTGTTCAATAGCATCAGTGCCAGCGGCAGCAGTGGTGGTGGTGCTGCTGCTGCTGCTGCTGCTGGAAACCTTCTATCCCTCAGCAGCAGCAGTGCTTCATCTGGGAACTCTATTGGCCCAGGAGCAGCAGGAATGAGAAGCAGCACTGGTAGGGCCAAGGCTGGGTCATTTTCAGGAACACCTGGGGTTTCTCCTGGGATTACTCCTGGGAACTCCCCTGGAAATACCACAGAAATCGCGCATGTGCATGCACGCAGTCATGATGGGGGGTCAGTGCTGCCCCTTCCCATGTGGGGGCCTGTCTCTCCTCCTCCGCTATTCGCCTCCCTTGTTTCAAGCCAAGCCTTCAGCCCCATGAGTTACCAACAGTATTCCCAGTACCCCCATACGCAGGTTCGACAGCAGCAGCAGCAGCAGCAGCAGCAGCAGCAGCAGCAGCAGCAGCAGCAGCAGCAGCAGCAGCAGCAGCAGCAACAACAACAACAACAGTATTCACAGCAGCAGCAGCAGGCAGGGCAGCAGACCAGCCTACGCAAATCCCCATCCCCTCAGCCTCACCATGCCGTCCCATCCTCTAGCACCTCCGTCTCCTCCCTCCTCCCCATCCTCCCCTCCGGCTTTCTCTCTCACACTTCCCCTTCCTCCTCTTCTTCCTCCTCTTCGTCCCCCTCTTCTTGGGCCTTCTCCCAAACCAATGCCTCTGTCTCAACCAGTATAGCGAGCCCTACACCCTCATCCACACTTGCACCCAACACCACTACCACCACCACCCCTCCCACTCTCCCGTCCCGCCATTCCAGCCTCTCCCTCTCCCCGAACCTCACAGAAGACTCCGGGCCTCCGCCTCGGGCCTCCCGGACCATCTCCCTCCGAGGCTCGGTGGCAGGCTTGGTGATAGGCTCGGGCCGGCGACCGTCAAGTCCTCTCATGTGGCAATCGAGTAATAGTCCGTTGGGGGCGGGCAGAGCAGCAAGCCCTACGGGAGCTCAGGTTGCTGCTGCTGCTGCTGCAGCTATGATAGCTGGTTGCCGTGCCGGTGGTGGTGTGAGCAGTAGTGGTGTTGCTTCTGGTGGCTTCCCTGTGATTGGTGGAGTGGCTGTGGAGCCTTGGGATTGGAAGCAGCAGGGTGGTGTGGTGGGGAGTGGTGAGGCGCGGTGGAGAAAGGCGAAGGAGGAGGCAGACAAGGAGATACAGAGACTGAGAGAAGAGGTGCGGATTGGCATTGTAAAGCCATGGATTTGTAACTCTACGAGGAAGAAAAACTTGGCCGATTGCATCATTCATTTAGAAGGAGATGTGAACAGCACAGTGTGTTACGTGTGCTGTGCATGCAGTGTACGCGTGTGCATGTTCATATGCGTGCTATAGTGCCCGTCATCACTTCCCCTTTTTTCTGCAACCCTATCTGTTTATCTCCTCCCTTCTCTGCTCCAACCGCCAGCTACAGCTAGTGAAAGCAAGGAGGGCGGAGTTGGTTTTTGAGGCGCCTCAGAAACCTCCTTTCTGCAACCCAGCCTGTTTATCTCCTCCCTGCTCTGCTCCTACCACCTGCTACGAGCGAAGAATGTGAGGAGTGCGGAGGTGGAGAGGGAGCGGCAGGCAGAGAGGCGGCTGGCAGGCAAGCAGGTGGAGGCAGCCTTCTCAGCTGCCAGCAGGGCTGCTGCTCGTGCTGCTGGCTCTTACAAACCCTTCCTTCCCCCCTTGCCTCCTTTCTTCCCCCTTGCCTCCTTTCTTCCCCCCTTGCCTCCTTTCTTTCTTCCCCCGTTGCCTCCCTCCCTCCAGTTACGAGCGGTCAAAGCAAGGAGTGCGGAGGTGGAGAAGGAACGGCAGGCAGAGAGGCGCCTGGCGGGCAAGCAGGTGGAGGCAGCCTTCTCAGCTGCCAGCAGAGCCGCTGCTCGTGCTGCTGGCGCTCGTGACGTCATCCAGCTGCTCTCTCAGCAGGTGTGACCGCTTACATTGATTATGGATATGTTACTGATTCTAGTTATCGAATTTTTTCTTATCTGCCAGCTGCCATGGCCTGCACAGGCCCCCTCCCGTTTTCCTTATTTCATTCCCCTCCGTCCTTCTCCCCGTCCCTTTTTCTCCATTCCCCCTGCCCCCCGCTCATACACAGCTCACCACTCTCTCTCAAGGTCTCCCTCAGGGCAGCATCAAGCAAGTCAGCCTCGCAGTGACCTCCCTGCCAGCTGCCGTGGTCTACATAGGCCCACTCCTCTCCTCCACCTCCATCATGCCAACCCTAACAGAGCTCCCTCCTCAGCAAGTTACCAGCACTGCCGCTGGGCCAGCTTCTGGGCAGTCAATTTCTGAAGACGTGGCACGTGGGGAGGGGGCATGCAGGGAGGGGGCACCTGGGGAGGGGGCACGTGGGGAGGAGACATGTGGAGAGGGGTTATGTGGGGAAGGAGCATGTGGGGAGGCAGCAGGTGGGGCTGATTGCGTGGGTGCTACTAGGGGCTCTTCTCCATCCCTTGACATGGGAGGTGCAAGTGGCAGCAGCATAGGGGCCGCATTGAATCCCAATAAGAGCACATCCGTTTCAAGCACAAGTACAGATACAAGCACGAGCACAGGTGTGGGTACAGACAGTACGTGTGCTGGTAGCAGCAGTACAGGCAGTGGCAGCTTTGAGGGAAGGGCAAGCGGGGCCAGCAGCAGCAGCCGCAGCAGCAGCAGAAGCAATGACGGCAGTGGTGGCGGCGGCGGTAGCAAGAACTCCAGATTGTTGAAACGCAAGGTCACTCCACGCACAGCGGCAGCAGCAGCAGCAGCCGCAGCAGCCGCCGCTGCAGCAGCAGGGCTACAGCCGCTGACGACCAACTTCTCCTTCAACTCCTGGAGTTCTCTAGACTGGATCAGATCTAAATCCCCTCCTGGTGCCGCTGCTGCCACAACTGCTGAAGCTGCCGCAGCAGGGATAGCTGGGAGGGACGGTGAGTCGGTTGCTGCAGCTGCAGCTGCATTGGCTGCACTGCGGGTAGAGGAAGAGTTACAGGAGTGTTCTGATGGATGGGAAGGAGCACCGGACGTGGCAGAAGCAGCAGCAGATGCAGAGGTGTCAGAAGCAACGAATAGTGCAGAAGCAGCAGAAGCAGCAGATGCATCCAATGCAGCAGAAGCCTCAGGCAAGGTGGAAGGCAGTAGGTTGAAGGGTTTATCCGCAGATGTTGAAGGAAATAGCTGCCTTGTGCTGGAAGGTGCAACTCAGGAGGAGGCAGTTCAGCGGGACAAAGCACGAAAGGAGAGAGGAGGCGGGGATGGGGAGAGCGAGAACGAGAACTCTTCAGACTCCCCATATCCCTCGTCTCAGGCAATGCCTGGAGGAAAATCTCCTTCAGACTCGTCAAACATCTCTAAACCCGCCAGAAAATCCAACAAGTCTTGGTCCTTCAGAAACGCTGTGGGCATGCCTTGGAGCCCTGTAGGTGGGGCAGATGAAAACATTGACTCTCCCAGGTCACAGTGGTTCGGGCAGGTGAATAAAGGCGCTGGGAAGTCGGGCCTGGGGGTTCGTTCTGGGGCAGCTGTGGGAAGCGCAGGGCAGGGGCCTGATGTCTGGGCTGCATCAGGAGAGGAGAACCCGCATGGTGATGCTTTGGCTGATGTGGCTGAAGGGGAGGATGGGGAAGCAGAGGAGAGGTCTGGAGGTAGTGAAGGGTCGGAGGGTGTAAGGGAGCCAGGTATGGGAGAAGAGGTTGAGGAGGAGGATTGGGAGGATGCAGGGGATGGAGAGGTGGAGGAAAAGAGGGATGGGAGGGATGGGATGGGAGCTGCGAACGAGCAGGTGGGCTCTGTTGCTGCTTCCCGGAAAGGTTTTGTGGAATCTGGGAGGGTGACTAGCATTGGAATCCCGCCTGTGTGGAACGGAATTTGTGAAATGACCCCCAGACCACAGCGGCCGGCTAGCAGGTTCGCAGTAGATAGAGGTGCGGGCAAGGACAGTGCGGTTGCTGCTGCTGTGGTGGGTGGAGAGGAGACGGGGAACGGGCAGCTGTTTGCTGATGGGTTGGACGGGAAGGGGTTAGCGCGAGAGGGAAGTGGGGGTTCAGGCGAAGCTTCATTTGGAAGGATTGCGGAGGATGGTTCTGGTACGCTTGCTGTGGCATCGGAATTGGGCGGAAATGCTGCAGAAGAGTGGCAAAAAGAGATCTCTTCTGTGGGGTATTCAGAAGAGGGTTATGCGAGCTATTCTGGTCCAGCCAGTGATGCACCAGGCCAGCAGCAATATGAAGGTCCAGTGAGAAGTGTGGAGGACCTTGTGAGGGCAGGTGAAGAGGAGGCGAGCTGTGGCTGGCAGTATGTGCCCTGTGGGATGAGTCGGGGCGAGACTGATTGTGGTAATTGGGAAGAAAATGCTGGGGGTGAGGAGAGTGCTGCGAGGGAGGGGAATATGACTGGGGAGGAGAGAGCCTACAAGGAGGAGAGTGCTGGGCGGGAGGAGAATTCTGGCAGGGAGGAGAGTGCAAGCAGAGAGGAGAGTGAAAGCAGAGAGGAGAGTGAAAGCAGAGAGGAGAGTGAAAGCAGAGAGGAGAGTGAAAGCAGAGAGGAGAGACATGAGAGGAAGCACAGGAGCAGGAAGCTGGGAGATGGGGAGTGGGTGGAGCAGCCAGAGCCTGGCGTGTATGTGACTCTGGCAAAACTGCCTGGAGAAGGGACTGAGCTGCGTCGGATACGGTTCAGGTAAGCTGCCGCTTTAGTTGTGCTGCTGGTAATTTCCTTTTCTAAATTTTGCTGTTGAATGCTCTCTCATCCCTGCAGTTCTGTGCTGTTTTTTTTTTTTTTTTTTTTCGGTACTTTTTGCCCCCCAGCTCACCTCCACAACCCCACCTCCCATCCCCCCACACCGTCCTCCCCACCTTCTCGACGTTCCTTCTGTGCCTTGCAGTCTCCAATCTAAATGTCTTCTCACCCTTTTGCATGCTCAAGAATTCATGCCCACTATTTTCAAACATATTATCCATTGTTTTGCTAATGGATGCTCATCTGTAGCCGCAAGGTTTTCATGGAGAAGCAAGCAGAAACATGGTGGGCGGAGAACAAGGCAGCGGTAACAGCTATGTACCATATCGTCAGCACGGCGAAGAAAACGGTGGTCGATCCAGGGGAAGTCCAGCAATAATGCTTGTTTGCCAGCTGTAGTGGTTTATGCAGCTGCATAAAATGCGTATTTAAAACCAGAATGCAAAATAGTGAACCCCGACCCGACTTGAAAGAGTGCTGAGACGAGCTGTTGGGTGAACCGTGAAACAGACTTTCAACCGGACTGACAAGTTTGTTCAGTTCTGTTTCAAACAAAGCAAACGTGCAAATCGAACGCCTCTGATTGGTTCCCGCAAAGTTGTGACAGAGTTGCACGCACTTGCGACATTTTTTACGTGTTCAACATTGATCGGAATCGTTCAGTATCGGGGAAGAAAAAAAAAACCACCAACACTTCCAACCGTCCATAACATTACAACGTGAGTTCATGATTTCATCTGGACCCAACTACTGTCATCTCCCGGTTAGAAGACCCTCTTAAGTTGTAATGTGTTATATATATGTGGGTAGGCTGTAGTGGGGTAGCCAATACAGGGTACAAACCCAACTAGGGTTAGCTACTTGTACCCAACTGTTTCTTTCAATGCATCATTCTTACGCTAGTATTCTGAGATGGTATTCAGATCAGGTGGTCCCTAGGACCATCCGATCGTTTTTTTAGGGCCCACCACCGCACGCTGCGGTTACCGCGTTACCCCCGCGCCCTACCCTCGTAGCGCCCTCGTTGCGCCCTAGCGCCCTCGTAGCGCCCTTGTAGCGCCCTCGTGCGCCCTGCCGACCGGCGTCCTGCCAGCCCAGAGCCCCGCGCGCCTCCCCCTCCCCTGCTTTGCCCGTCGCGCCGCCCGCTCTGCCCCGCGCTGCCCGTCGCGCTGCCTCGCAGCCCCGCGCACCGCCCGCTGTGCCCCGAGCCGCCCGTCGATCTGCTGCGCAGCCCCGAGATCCGCCCGCCCTGCCCTGCGCTGCCCGTCGCTCGGCTCTGCAGCCCCGCGCGCCGCCCGCTCTGCCCCGCGCAGCCCGTCGAGCTGCCTTGCAGCCCCGCGCGCCGCCCGCTGTGCCCTGCACCGCCCGTCGCGCTGCCCGCCCGCCCGCCGCGCTGCCCGCTTGCGGAGTCGCCCGCCAGTCGCGCTGCCCGCCTGCAGCGCCGCCTGCCTGCCGCGCTGCCCGTCCACAGAGCCGCCTGTCCGCCGCGCTGCCCGCTTGCAGCGCCGCCTGCTGCTCCCTACCCGTGCGCAATTGCCCACCCTTGCTGCGGTAGCTTGCGCTGCTCTGTCATACTGTCGCTATGGCTTCCATCCGCGTGCTGTCGTTCGATGCTGAGGGCCGCCCTGTGCAGTTCACCACTTGGCTAGATGACCTGCAGCTGTTCCTCCTGAGCGATAGCAAGGAGCATGTGTCGCTCTATGATTATGCGTCTGGTGCTGCGCCTGCCCCTCCTGCCACAGCTGAGCTTAGTGTTCGTTCCCACTGGCAGACTCGTGACGCAGCTGCTCGCCTAGCCATTCGCAGTCACCTGCCGTTAGCTGAGCTCGAGCATTTTGGCGACTGCAAATCCACAGCTGAGCTTAGCCGCCTCATGCTGCCTTACCTGTTCCCTGAGCTGTCCACCTTTGCTACAGTCGCCGATCTTATCACCCACCTTCGCACTAGTGACGCTCGCCTGCGTGCCGCCCTTCCCACTGAGTTCTGCGCTAAGAACCCCCCTCCACTATACTGGACACTCCACTTCATAGTCACCCGTCTCCCTGACACCCTCAGCTCAGTGCGCGACTATTTCCTTGCTCGCTGTCCCACTGAGCTCACTGTCGCCCTCCTAGAGGAGAAGCTGCTAGCAGCCGAGAAGAGCATTGTAGCTGTAGGTGCTGCTCGCGGCGCTCCTCGCACCCCCATCTTTGAGGGGTGCTCTCCCTCTCCCCTCGCTCCCTCCTATGCTACTGCTGCTGCTGTTGACTTCCTTGGTGCTGAGTCTGCTGGCGCTGCTTCTGCTCCTGGTGGGAGGCGCCGCACCGGCAAGGGCAAGGGGGGCAAGGGTGGCGGGGGTGGCGCTGGGGGGGGAGGAGGTGGGGGAGGTGGGGGGGGAGGCGGTGCTGGAGGGAGCGGTGGCGGGAGTGCTGGTGGGAGTGGGGTCGGCAGCGGAGGCGGGGGCGGCGGAGGGAGCGGTGGCGGTGGTGGCGGCGGCGGCGGTGGCGGCGGTGGCAGTGGCGGCGGTGGCGGTAGCGGCAGTGGCGGTCGGAGCGGAGGTGGTGGTGGCGGCGGAGGTCGGAGTGGTGGCACTGGCTCGGGCCAGAGCTCCCAGCCACAGCAGCGTCCCCAGTCGACCCAGCAGCTTCGTGAGTGGCTTGCTCAGCGTGGGACGTCGGGGGGCAGTGGCCGCTGTTCCTATGTCATTCGCACAGGTGACCGCAAGGGACAGACGTGTGGGAGGTTCCACACCCCGTACCGCTGCTTCTCCCACCTTGACGACGCTTGGCGTGAGGAGATGGGCGAGGATGTTGAGCGCCCCTGCTGGGCGGAGCTGATGAGGGCTGGTGTTGATATCTTTGCTCTTGACTATGATGCTATTATTGCTGCCATGTATGCATTGACTGTTAGTGCCGAGGGAGACTGTTACTTGTGTGTGCCGCCTGACCCAGGTATAGAGCCCGCTCCCCTAGGTACCAGTGAGTCTGCTCTCTCTGGTATGGTGCCCTCTGTGTCTGCTCCCTCCAGTGCTGTCCCTGCTGCTTGTGAGTCTGCTCTCTCAGGTACAGCACCCACAGAGACTGCTCTCTCAGGTACTGCACCCGCTGAGGCCTTGCACACCTTCACCCTTGACTCAGGTGCTTCTCGCTGTTTCTTTCGTGACAGTACTGAGCTCACACCGCTTCCTGCACCGGTCCCAGTCTCCCTGGCTGACCCCTCAGGGGGCCCAGTCCTTGCACGGTCCACCACTGTGCTTCCGTGCCCGGCGGTTCCGTCTGGCTCGTTGTCGGGTTTCCACCTCCCCTCGTTCTCGACGAACCTGGTGAGCAACGCTGTCATCCAGGATCAGTGGGTTGACACCTTCACCCCTGGAGGACAGCGTGTGGCGATCCTCACGTGCTCCAGGACCGGCCGTCACCTGGCTACGTTTACCCGTCAGCCGGGATCGAGTCTCTACACACTGACCACTGCGTCTCCTCAGGTCGCTGCTGTCGGTCAGGTGTCCGCGTCAGGTCTGGTAGCCCACGCCTGTGAGTGTCGTTCCCTGTCGCACCAGACTCTTCTCTGGCACCACCGCCTGGGTCACCCCTCCTTGCCACGCCTCCGTGGCATGCACCGTCGCCACCTTGTGTCTGGTCTTCCCAGGTCCCTCCCTCCCCTCCCTGCCTCGCCTGCGCCGCCCTGCCTTCCTTGCGTCGAGGGGCGGCAGCGCGCCGCTCCTCACTCCTCCTCGTTCCCCCCGACAGAGGCTCCTCTGCAGACCCTCCACCTGGACGTGTGGGGCCCAGCCCGCGTTCGTGGCCAGGGCGGTGAGCGGTACTTTTTGCTGGTTGTCGACGACTACTCGCGTTACACCACGGTCTTCCCCTTGCGCACCAAGGGTGAGGTCCCTGCTGTTCTGATCCCTTGGATCCGCACAGTTCGTCTCCAGCTCCGCCGCCGTTTCCGGACAGACCTTCCTGTCCTGCGTCTGCACTCTGACAGAGGTGGTGAGTTCTCCTCCGACCTCTTGAGGACCTTCTGTCAGGCGGAGGGCATTGAGCAGACCTTCACGCTTCCGGACTCCCCGCAGCAGAATGGGGTTGCTGAGCGCCGCATTGGCCTGGTCATGGAGGTCGCTCGTACCTCCTTGGTCCATGCGGCGGCTCCCCATTTTCTGTGGCCGTTTGCTGTCCGGTACGCTGCGCATCAGCTCAACCTCTGGCCCCGTGTCTCCTTGCCGGAGACCTCTCCCACACTGCGTTGGACGGGGGAGGTTGGCGATGCGTCGCGCTTCCGGGTGTGGGGTGCTCGTGCCCTTGTCCGCGATACGTCCGCGGACAAGCTCTCCTCCCGCACGCTTCCCTGTGTCTTCCTTGGCTTTGTCCCTGACGCGCCTGGCTGGCAGTTTTACCACCCCACCTCGCGCCGGGTCTTCGCCTCTCAGGACGTCACCTTTGACGAGTCGGTCCCTTTTTACCGTCTCTTCCCCTACCGCACTGCCCCCCTCCCTCCCCCGCCGCTTTTCCTTGCTCCTGGTCCCCCTCCGGTAGACCCCCTCCCCCCTCAGGGTCCTGCTCCTTCAGGTGTCTCTCAGGTAGACCCTCCTCCCGTCGCTGAGCCTGTCGAGGTCACAGGTGACTCAGGTGCTGCTGCGGGTGGTGCTGCTGGGAGTGCTGAGCCTGGGGGTGCTGGGCCTGGGGGTGCTGGGGCTGCGGGTGCTGGGACTGAGGGTGCTGGAGCTGAGGGTACGGTGCCTGAGCGTACGGAGCCTGGGGGTGCTGAGCCTGGGGGTGCTGCGACTGGGGGTGCTGAGCCTGCGTGTACGGAGCCTGGGTGTACTTGTCTGGGGGTGCTGAGCCTGGGGGTGCTGCGCCTGAGGGTACTGAGCCTGGGGGTGCTGCGACTGAGCCTACGGAGCCTGGGGTTGCTGCGTCTGGGGGTGCTCCGGTTCGGGGTGCTGAGCCGTCTCTCACACCGCAGCAGCTTCGTGACTGGTACGTCCGGCGCTTTCGCCGTCCTCGTGGCCCTGCTGGAGTTGGCGGTTCTGGAGCTGCTCGTCCTGGAGGTGCTCGTACTGGAGGTACTGGAGCTACCGGGGCTGGTTGTTCTGGGGGCACTGAGGCTGGAGCTGCTGGAGCTGGGGCCTCTGGGGCTGGCGGTACTGGCGGAGTTAGCGCTGCCGGCGCTGGGGGTGCTCTTCCTGGAGGTGCTGGAGCTGACGACACTGGAGCTGACGGTCTTGGAGACGTTGGTCCTGCTGGCTCTGGAGGTGCTGGCGAGGGGAGGTCTGCCGCTGCTGAGGCCTCTGGTGCTAACGTCGCCGGCTCTGGGGGTGCTGCGGCGGGGGGTGCTGGTCCTGGTGCTTCTGGTGCTGCGGGTGCTGGAGGTGCTGGCGCCGTCGCGCCAGTTCTTCGCTCCACCGTCGCCGTCGGCTTTGCCACCGCCTGACACGGTGCTTCGCCAGGTTCTTTCCCTCCCGTCTTCCACTGGCCTTCCTCTCCAGCCTGGCTCCCCCCTCCCTGCTCCTGTGCCTTACACTGCACAGCCGGACTCGCTTACGGAGCGTCGTGAGCCTGTGTCTCGTCCTGCCTCGCCTGTTCGTGCTGCTCGCACTGCGCGCACTGGTCCCACTGGTCGTCGTGTCGCGCGTCCGCGTCCTCCTCCTGTTCCTGGCACGCATATTATGGCCCTTCGTCCTTCCACTGGTCCACAGCGTGTCCCCCTACCGTCTCCTCCTGCGTCTTCTCTTCCTGAGGTTCCCGACCCTGAGTCTGACAGTGTTCGTGCTGCCCACCCTACTGTTACGCGTCTTCTCGCCACTGTTGTCACTGACCCGTCGTTTGAGTCTTCTGCTGCGTCTGCCCTGGTCGCTGAGCTTGTCGACTTTGCTGCTGCCTGTCGTCTAGACTACGCCGCCAGTCTTGTTGCTGGGTCTGAGTCTGTCTGTCCTCCGTCCGTCGGGGGTGAGTGTGCTCTTGGCACGGACGTCCTTGAGGACAGGCAGGAGGACTTTGACTCTCTTGCGGCTGCTGTACCTCATCTCGTGGCCTGGTTGCTTGCCCCTGAGGGAGACCCGGATGCACTAGACATCCCCACTCCGCGCTCTTACGCAGAGGCGATCTCGGGTCCCTACTCCTCTCACTGGCAGACAGCCATGGACGCAGAGATGGCATCCTGGAAGTCCACAGGCACCTACGTCGACGAGGTTCCCCCTCCTGGGGCGAACATCGTCGATGGCATGTGGATTTTCAGGGTGAAGCGGCCGCCAGGTTCTCCACCTGTCTTCAAGGCTCGTTACGTTGCTAGAGGCTTCAGTCAGCGTCAGGGGGTTGACTTCTTTCAGACCTTCTCCCCCACCCCGAAGATGACCACTCTTCGGGTTCTGCTGCACGTTGCTGCTCAGCGTGACTACGAGCTTCACTCTCTTGACTTCAGCACAGCGTTCTTGCAGGGCAGCCTGCACGAGGAGATCTGGCTGCGCCGCCCACCTGGCTTTACTGGGTCGTTTCCTCCTGGTACCCAGTGGAGCCTCCGGCGGCCAGTCTACGGTCTCCGCCAGGCACCGCGCGAGTGGCACGACACATTGAGGACTACACTTGCGGCCCTTGGGTTTGCTCCTTCCACTGCTGACCCGTCACTGTTCCTGCGCACAGACACGTCGCTGCCGCCGTTCTACATCCTCGTGTACGTCGACGACTTGGTTTTTGCTACTGCTGACACTGAGGCACTCGCTCGTGTGAAGTCGGAGCTGCAGAAGAGACACACCTGCACTGACCTGGGTGAGCTGCGTAGCTACCTTGGCTTGCAGATCACCCGGGACAGAGCACGCCGCACCATCACACTGACTCAGTCACACATGGTGCAGCAGGTCCTTCAGCGCTTCGGCTTCCAGTTCTCCTCACCACAGGCCACACCTCTGGCTACCAGCCACTCGCTCTCAGCTCCACCTTCGGACGAGTCCGTAGAGCCGAGTGGCCCGTACCCAGAGCTTGTAGGCTGCCTCATGTACCTGATGACTTGCACGCGACCTGACCTCGCGTACCCTCTTAGCATCCTTGCTCGTTACGTTGCGCCTGGGAGACACAGGCGAGAGCACTGGGAGGCTGCTAAGAGGGTGCTGCGTTACTTGTGCAGTACATCAGGCATGGGGCTGGTGCTTGGAGGACGCGACAGAGTTGTCCTCACTGGTCACTCGGACGCTTCTTGGGTGGACGACCTGGCTACGCAGCGGTCGTCACAGGGTTACACCTTCAGCCTTGGCTCTGGTTCTGTCTCGTGGCGGTCCACCCGCTCTTCTTCTGTTCTCGGCTCTAGTTGTGAGGCTGAGATCTACGCCACGGCCATGGCTGCACAGGAGTTACGCTGGCTCACCTACTTGCTGACTGACTTGGGAGAGCGGCCTAGTTCTCCTCCAGTTCTGTACGGTGACAACAAGGCGGCCCTTGCCTTGTGTCAGGAGCACAGACTGGAGCACAGGACGAAGCACATTGCTCTTCGCTACTTTCTTGCTCGAGAGCTTCAGCAGCGCGGTCAGCTTCGGCTTGTGTACGTGGACTCGAAGGCCAACACTGCTGATATCTTCACCAAGGCGCTCCCGCCTAGTGATCATCAGCGGCACTGTACTTCTTTAGGCCTTGTGTCCACGTTTCCTCATTTGCTTACTGCTTGACTTTCTTTGTACTGTACTTTATATATATCTTGCTGCTTGTCCTGTTCTATATCTAGCACTGCATGTGAACTGGCCTTGTGGCCTTTGCTTGTGCTCGGAGTGTGGTGACGTTGTGATCCACCCTGGGCTTGTTTTGCTTTGCTGGACTGGTCTTGTGACCCTTTGCTCTCCCCCACTTTGCCTATGGGGGTGTGTTAAGTTGTAATGTGTTATATATATGTGGGTAGGCTGTAGTGGGGTAGCCAATACAGGGTACAAACCCAACTAGGGTTAGCTACTTGTACCCAACTGTTTCTTTCAATGCATCATTCTTACGCTAGTATTCTGAGAGACCCGAGGGGTCTTAATCCAAATGTGCCAAAATGGTTTGTGGGGTCTTCTGTGATGGCATGTAGTAAAAAAGACCTGTGGACATCTATTAATTACATAAAAAAAAAATGAATTGTGTAGTGCTGGTATGTTGAAGAAAATCGAAAAATTCTGTACTGAATTTTTGATTCCTTCACAGCGTGGAAATTTGTTCTCAAATTCTCGCACTCGAGTCTCGCTGATTCCTATCCGCACGTACTGTAATGCCGAAGAATGACAGGCACGTCAGCACTTCTTTCCTGAAGGGCGGCAAAAACGCGTGATTGATGTGGCATATTGACTCCCTTGACCACAAATTCGCCTGACATTGTGAATTTGGTGTTTTTTTTGTGTGACTCGCTAACCAGCGCATGAACTAAACACCACTCATTATAGCATATTGCAAAAGAGGGAAGGTATTAAATTGAATAGGGTCAAAAGACGGGTCCTCTCCAGGAATGACACAATAGAAGACTCTTGGTATGGATAGAAGACCCACGAGGCTTGCATGCAGGGGGGGTCTTCTTGCCGGGAGATTACGGTAGAAGGGGGGGTCACTATTTTGCCTACGTGCTTTAAGAATTGCCATGTTTTAGTCTGTTACTACGATTTCATTCATTCTGTGGTGTCGAAATAATATGATAATTGGTGGCATGATGATGGTCAATTCCTGAATATTGTACTCGAATTTTGGCAAATGGTTGTAACATTGTGGCATGTACGAAGTGTATTTGCCACCTGTGGCGAGATGTTCAATTTCGACCTACCACAGTGGAAGCGATTGTCAACACTCCAAGAGTGTACATATTTGTGTTCGTAGCCTGTGTCTGCTGCAGCCCGGAAACTGGGTTGAGGTCAGACCAGCATCGAGAATCATGGCCCCTCTCGCAACTCAGGTGCGATCTGGTTGCAATGCTACGACGTTTCTTCATTCCAAAAGGTCCCTAATGATCTACTTCTTCTTGTAGAGCCGTCGTGGGGGAACACGGACTCGTCCAGTGGCTCCCCAGAACGAAAACGCTGTACCCGCTGCAGGGAAGGGTAGTATTGTAACGTTCGTATTGACCCATTTTCTATGTTTTACGATACTTATCAGCGTGTCTGAAATCCAGTCACGAAGACGAACTTCGTACGGAGTGAGAACGAAAGTTCTCGTCCTTCGCTTCGTTATGTCACGAATACCACCAAGGCCGTGGTCTCCGAGCGGTAAGACAAAGAAATGCGTCAACAGCAAAGTTCGTCGAGATACATCACTGACTTTGCGTTTCATGTTTCAGTGGCAAAGCTCCTGTAAAAGTAAGGGATGTTCCGAAAGCAGCATCAAAGCGGCCGACTCATCAGGTGTGCTCGAAACGTGATTAAAGCGGAATGAATGATGCCATTATTTGTCGTTACTGATCTTAGCAACCAATGTACAGGCTCGGCCAACAAAATTGCCTTCTCCGGCATGGCGTCCGGCTGGAATCTCTAATGGCCTTTTCGACAAGACACGTCCTCCTACCACACGGAGCGGTGTATTGAGACGCAGCAGCAGTTCTGCTCCTGTTGCCGCTCGGTCCAGCAACACGACTGTCAGTCGAAGGTCATCAACGACTGCAATCAGTGATCCTTCTAAGCTCGCACCAGCAGCAGCCACGAATATTGGCAATGTCACTGATCACCGTACTGCAGCTGCTCATGAAGACTATGCAGCTGATCATCACAATACTGCTGTTCATGACAACGATGTCGCTGATCTAGATGCTGCAGCTATCCATGAAGAGAGTGTCGCTGATCATTCGAGTACTGCTGTTTATGAAAAGGATGTCGCTGATCAAGTTGCTGCAGTTATTCACGAAGACATTGTCGCTGATCATCTCACTGCTGCTGTTCATGACGAGGATGTCGCTGATCACGTTGCTCCAGCTATCCATGCAGTGAGTGTCGCTGATCACTCGACTGCTGCTGCTCATGACGAGGATCCCCCTGATCACCATACTGCACCGATTCATGTGGAGGATATCGCTGATCACGTTTCTGCTGCTATCCATGAAGAGAATGTCGCTGATCGTCTCAGTGCTGCTGTTTATGACAGCGATGTCACTGACCACGTTGCTGCAGCAATCCCAGACGAGACTGTCGCTGATTATCTGACTGCTGCTGTTCATGACGAGGATCTCCCTGATCATCTTATTGCTATTGATTCTCACAGTGTGAAGGCAACTGATTTGGACACGAAGGTGGTGACACGACATGCATCCAATCATGAGGAAGCAACAAACGAAGTGACGCGATATGTTTTCCAGCGAAGGGATAGTGCTGGATGTTGTGCAGGTAGCAACGCTGGTCCAGGGAGGCACATCTTGACCATGACGAAGCAGCTCATCAAGAAGACCCTGGAAGTAAAAGTGGAGTCTTGTTGGGATGTTGATGCTCAAGACCGTGATAACCCGCTTGCCGAGACAACTTACGTCGCTGACATTTACCACCATTACAAGATGACAGAGGTCAGTTTCGGAGTGAGCTTTCTTGGGATGCTCAATTTGAAGGTTGGCTTGATTGGTTTGTCTTTTACAGAAGGAGGGAATGGTTTGCTCCACTTACATGTCTGCACAATCCGAAATTAATAGTCAGATTCGAGGCGTTGTGCTCGATTGGGTGGTTCAGGTCAGCCATTGTCGTCCCCCTATCCTTTTATTTGCTTCTGGCCTTAACTTTCTGACTCCTTATAATCGCTATGCAGGTCCATGAATCCTTTAATCTGATGCCTGAAACTCTGTTTTTGGCTGTCAACATCTTTGATCGATATCTTGCTGCCACTCATGTACCCAAGGAACACATTCAGCTGGTTGGAGCAGCTTGCATTTTAATTGCTGCGAAATACGAGGAGATTTACACTCCTCTTGTTGCTGACTTCGAATATATTGGAGATGGCGCCTATACGCGAGGACAGATGCTCATGATGGAGAAGCAGATATTGAACAAGATCTCGTTCAAGCTTAGCATCCCAACATGCTACATGTTTGCTGCTCGTTACCTTAATTTCGCCAAGGCTGCAGCTGAGGCCACCACGGCTTCAGATGTAGCTTCAAATGGGTGGAGCATCGAAGTTTCAAAGGGAACCAGCAGTCGGGTGCATGCCTTTGCATGGTACCTTCTGGAGCTGACCATTCCAGAGATCAGCATGGTGCAATTCAGTCCGTCCCATCTTGCTGCAGCAGCAGTATACACTGCTCTGCTTGGAGCCTATCAAAAGGGGAAGGCAGCCAAGTCAGCTGGTTCAGAGAGCAACCAGACCATCATGCACCGTAGGCCAACCAATGAAGGTGAAATCTGGGGATCACGCATGGCTGACTTGACTGGTTATGAAGACCAGGAGCTGTGGCACTGTGTGGGGCTGTTGCTGGAGTTATACAAGACAGCTTTGTCGAGTCGCCATGGTGCGGTGTATGAGAAGTACCAAGGGAAGAAGTTTCTGGAAGCTGCCACCTATCCAGCACCACTGTCAGAGACGTGATGTGATGCGTACTCAGTCCAGGGTTTGGGAGGCTGTGTGAAGTAGTGAAGTAAGATGGGTATCAACAAGTGTGGTTGCTAAGGTGATTGGGTCAGAATAAAATGCAATGGATGAGGTAGCTACTAGGTGGAATCAGGCCACTGCCCACTTTTATGATATCAGCAATATTTATGTTGCACTAAATTTGATTCTCCTTTCGCTTGTCAGTATCGTGCTTGAAGGCAAGTTTATTGCTAAAATTGGCTGTTCACTTCCTACCTAACCAGGAAAGAACCTGTCCTTATTTGGCGGCCGAGAGGGCCCCTCAGATAACAACTACCTTACAAAAGGGCAGAGGGAGCCCAAGCAGAACTACAAGCAGAACAAGCTAGGGAAGCAAAATCAGGGCGAGATGACCCTGCGCAATAAGCTCTAGGTGACCAGAGGATCGATGCGGCCCGTCCATCCATCCTCCTCCTTTCACTTCCTGCCAGCCGCCGGGACGGACGAGTTGGCCGTCGACAAGCAAGATGTCGACTTGGTCAGCTTATGGGCAACGGCACGTGGAGGGTTCTCGGGAAGGTGAGGCACGGCGGGGATCTTCGCCACCTCCTCAAACTGCTTCCGCGAATACTTCTTGTGCACCGCCGCGAGGTTCCCCGTGCCTGCCTTCCCGTGCAGAGCCACAAGCTGCTCCACGCACGGCCACAGCGTCGCCTCGTCGTACCCAGTAAGCCACGCCATCCCGGGGCCCCAAACCTCACCAGCGCCTGCCGAGCCTGCTCCCGTGGCTGTTTTGTTGGCGTGGTGCGCCGTCAGCAGCGCGGCGTAGACCGAAGCGGCAGCCAGGTGCGACGGGGAGAATTTGATCATGGAGTGCTCTGGCAGGGTCAGCTCGAGAAGGAACCACGCGAGCGCGTGAACACGCGTGTCCGCTCCAACGGTCACCGCCTTGTCAGCACCGACGCCGGCAGCCGCAGCAGCGTTCGCGGCGGCGGTCGCGGCCTTGAGGAATCTCGCGGCGAAGACGTACGAAGTTGGGATCGTAAGCTTGAACTGCAACGTGTTCAGCATATCCTTCTCCATCTTCAACACGTCCTGACGCGTGTACGCGTTATCGCAGATATACACGAAATCGCCGACCTCAGGAGCCCAGATCTCCTCGTACTTAGACGCGATGAGCATCGCCGTGATCCCCACCAGCTGAAGATTACGACGCGGAACCGGCGTCACCGCCAGGTACCTATCGATGACGCTTGTAGCGAGGAAAAGCGTCTCCGGCATGAGCTTGAACTTGAGGTGCACCTCGATCAGCCAGTCGATGAGGATCGCGCGCATCGTGCCGTTGATGTCGCTCTGACGGTTCATGTAATCCGGAGCCACCATGCCTTCCGCTTCCGTCCGCCGGTAGAAGGTAGATATCCGCGACATAAGTCGTCTCGGCAAGAGGGTTGCTCTTGTCGGCGGCGTCGATGTCCCACCACGCTTCCCTCTTGACGGACGCAGCGGCGGCGGCGGCGGCGTTTATCGCGGTGACCGTAGAGAGGACGCTCGCCTCCTCGCTGACGGCTGTCAGCTCGGCGGTCATGGTGTGCACGTGGCGGGGCTCTTCGATGTCCACGTCACCCGGGATCACTTCTTCCACGTCAGGTGAGACGGTGACGACGCTGACGGCGCTGCTGGTCTGAGAGGATTTCGCGGCGGGTTGAGGCTTGGGCTGCAATGAAGAAAGAAACGGAAAACGTCAGATAAAGAAGTAACAGAGGAGGAACGGCGAGACTGTAGACTGTAGATGCGTCAAGGTCAAGTCGTAGAACGGCGACGGAAATTGATTAAGATTCTGAAATTGATTAAGCTCACCACAACAACGGAGGCGCGACCAGGCACCTTGGCGGCGGGAGCAGCGCGTTGGCGGACGGGCTCGGCCTTTTTCCCGCCAGCAGCTGCCTTGGAGGCCATGCTGTTGGTGAGCGTGCCGAAAGCTCGGCGCGGGGGAGGGAGGACATGGCCGGATCGAAGCTTCATCGCGCCAAGCTCTGGTGCGATAGCCGCGGCGGCGTTCTTGCCTGCAAGCCGTTTCCCATCCATCACCTTGTTCTCGTCATTGGCAGCGTATTGAGAGGCCATTCTGGTGGCCATGGCTTGAGATAGGTCGGGCTTAAACTCTTTGGCTAGGTAATAATTCCCAACCAGAACGACGTGCCCCTGAGCGATAATGACTGGAGCCTCTGAGCGCAAGGACCGATCTAGAAAGAGGAAGATGCTGGTAACTGTCAAGTAGATACTCGTCGTAAGCGGGAAAGCGTTCTGAGACTCAGCGCGAGTGGATGCAGGAGCACGAGAGTGCACCGCGTAATAAGTCTGGTGTTGAAAGCCGAAAGTGGATGAGGATGAATGAGCTAGGCGAGGTGTTTTGTAGGCGAAGGTGTGTGGTGTTGTCGGCAAATATGAAAATGGTGGCGGGACGAGAACTACCAGCGCAGGTTCAGTGATTTACAGTGAAGTGAAGAATGGTATAGGAGGTTAAGCTCTTTGGAAAACCGTGCCGCGGACAATCTGTGTGGGTCGCCAAATGCGGCTGGGTGGTGCGGCTCGGCTCGCAGGAGAACAATTTCGCTTTGCGCCAAACGGCCGCCTTATACGGCTGGGGCGTTGAGATTCGGGGAAAACGGGAAACTACATTGGCTCGAGGAGGAGAGGTGCATGGTACTGTTCGTCACGATGAGACGCAGCGAACCGTCCGATGGCAAACTGGTCTCGGGAAATGTTTTTGCATCTGAAAAATGGGAGTGGCTTTGGTCGTAGTAACGGGGCAAAAGCTCCGGTAGGAGAGTCCGAGTCCCCATAAGCCGTCCGACATGTAATCTTTACCCAATTCACAACCGTAGATGAGTTTTTGCTGGCGGAGAAGGACATGGCATGATGGTGATGAGCGGTGTCTCATTTTGGAAATGAACGGCCAGCAGGCTGTGACAACAGAGCGGGAAGTTTGAATGCGAGGATTTGAACGGCTCTTCGACAGGCGAAAGCCAAAGCCGTCGCACAGCCCCGCCACAAATCAAATTGGCTGTCAGATCGATTTGAATGCCGAAACTTGAACGTGCTAGGTGATACACTTACGAATATTTAGACGCTTAAAGCCGGCAGCCCAAATTGCACAAGTTTTAAAAGGTTGACGCGAGGGGGTTTTTGTGGTGAGGGTTTTGGCGAAAGATTCCGATTTCGCTTTTTTCGTTTTTTTTCGCCAAACCCAGCCCGCCCTCGTATTTCGCCCTGGGGGTTGGTTCAGTTCCCAAAAGTCCCAAATTGCAGGCACGCTTTTCTTCAAACCTTGAAAACACTAGTTCGTCAAGTTTTAAAAGCTTGACCCGCGCGGCCCGCAATTTGGGACTCGGGCTTTAACCTTTTCAAATGTCACTGGAATCATTGACACCTCCTCTATTATGTTACAGCTAAGGTTGTTCAGACCTGAACTTATCATAGCTCTTAGGATGTATAATGCCCTTGCATTGATGTAAGCTATTCTGGGAACAAAAAATGTACGTTTGCAGAACTATAGTCCAAGTGAACTTCTTAAGATAAGACTCTAGCAGTTTCTCCAGCATGTTACCTGCACCCACGCTCCAACACCCCTAGCACACAGTAGCGCAGGCAGACTAGCAGCCAGCGTGTCGCTTCTCTGTCCCTCAGTCCCTTAAACCATTTGGGAGCCGGCAGTTTCTCCAGCATGTATCTCAGCACCTGCACCTCTGCATGCATCCACAACCCTTGGCAAGCGGAGCAGGCAGACCAGGAGCCAGCATGATTCCCTTCAGCGAATCCCCTCTTCAGTTCCCTTCTTCAATCCCCCAACAGTTCCAGGGAAAGCAGTTTCTCGAGCATGTTACTCAGCACCTGCTCCCACGAGTTGAACAGACCAGGCATGCAGTAGTGCAGGCAGTCGTGACTTCCTCCGCTCCCAATTCCCTAACTGCACCCTCAGTCCCTCAGTCAGCGCAAGCAACTTCTCGAGCATGTTACTCAGCACCTGCACCCACGAATCCAGTGGCCCCGGCATGCAGTAGTGAAGGCAGTCCAGCTTCGCTGGCAGCCCTGTGTGCCCGTCCTACCTCTGTTCCCCCAGTTAATCCCTCAGTCTCCTCGGTGCCAGCAGTTTCTCAAGCATGTTACTCAGCACCTGCACCCACGAATCCAGCGGCCCAGGCATGCAGTAGTGCAGGCAGTCCAGCTTGGCCAGCTGCCCCGTGTGCCCATCCTACCTCAATTCCCCCGGTCAATCCCTTAACCTCCTCGGCGCAAGCAACTTCTCAAGCATGTTGCTCAGCACCTGCACCCACGAGTCCAGCTGCCCAGGCATGCAGTACTGCAGGCAGTCCAGCTTGGCCAGCTGCCCCGTGTGCCCATCCTACCTCAATTCCCCCGGTCAATCCCTTAACCTCCTCGGCGCAAGCAACTTCTCAAGCATGTTGCTCAGCACCTGCACCCACGAGTCCAGCGGCCCAGGCATGCAGTACTGCAGGCAGTCCAGCTTTGCCAGCTGTCCCGTGTGCCCGTCCAGTCGCAACGCCGTCATCCTCTCCCATCATCGCCATCATCGCCATGCCTAGCTGCTCCACCCCCATTACCTGAGAAACCCCTCCCCTCCCCCGCATCTGCTTCTCCACCCCCTCTCCTCCCCTCCCACCCCCTCCTCCCGTTCAGTCCCTTAACCGTCTGGGAGCCAGCAGTTTCTCGAGCATGTTGCTCAGCACCTGCACCCATGCATCAAGCGGCCCAGGCATGCAGTAGTGCAGGCAGTCCAGCTTGGTCAGCAGCCCCGTGTGCCCGTCCGGCCGCAGCGCTGTCATTCGTTCTACATCCATCATCGCCATGCCTAGCTGCTCCGCAATTGGCTGGGACAGCCTGTTCTGGTGCGGGAATTTGTCCCAGTTGAACGGGAGCTTAGAGGGGTCTTGCAGCGCCTTTTTCGATTGGCTTGTGGTATTTCGGGCAGTCCACGTGGCCGCCCGCGCTGTTCCGGTAGATTAGCAGCTTATCCGGGAACCGGTTTCGGAGGTATAAGAGTGTAGTGCGCAGGTGCGGCTCAAAGTCGTTATCCTCTCTATAGTGCGGCCCGCGGTTCAGTATAATTGCATCGGCAGCAGGAAGCACAGGGGCCCTGGTCCAAGCGAAATGCAGATACTCCCTAGGGTTCCCCAGCTGCAAATGATCGTTCCGGAGAAAAACCATCCGCAAACCCGGGCAGACGGAATCACCAAAAGTCACGTCCCGGCAGAAAATTTTCGCGGCGGGTCCGATCACCCACCCGCTGCATTCCAGTGACTCTTCCCGTGTCTCGTTGAATTCGGAGGTGACGGGTTTTCTAACCCCCAGAAGCATGGAATCAACGAGGACTTGGAATAGTTGGTGCTGGAGTGAGTCCCCTACGAAGACCAGGGTTCGATCGCGGCCCACTCGGTCACAGAATCGGCGCGGATCGAAAGGTTTCCACGGCTGCTGCTTGTTGTTGTTACTGCTGCCTGCAGCCCCTGAATTGAAATCTGCGAGCTTCCTGCTGCTTCTGCTTCTGCTGCTGCTGTGGCTGAGTCTATTTCCCCTGCCACCGGAACCAGAAAGACGCCGGCGCTGAGAATCGAACCCTTCACCTTCCCCTTCTTCCTCGCCTTCATCCCCGTTATCCTCCTCAAGCAAATCACTTTCCTCCTCCCCCTCCTCTCCCAACTCTCCCCCTCCTCCTCCTCCTCCTTCCTCCTCCTCATACCGCTCCTCTCCCATCCCCACACTCGCCACATCCTCCTTATAATCGCATTTGCTTTTAAGAACATCCCAAACATACTTCAATTCCCCGCGAATCTTCCATTCGCTAGGCGCACCCCCCCTCCTCACAACATCATCTGCTTCATTCACAGCTATCACCCCCTTTGTAGTCTCCATTGCTCTAATGTCACACGTGCCTGCACCCTTATAAGGCCACGGCAAAAATCTCGGCCGCCCGTCGAATTTCCACCGCCCCGCCTGACCGATGCACGCTGCCCACGACCGGAAACTTTCAACCTGCCCGGACGTTCGGAGAACTGAACCTGGAATCACTTTAGTAAGATCTGGAACGGACAACCCCCAGTCTACCCCCTCAGATGTAGCAGCGGGTAGCATAGGCACGGCAAGATTTGTTTTTGCTGCCGCCCGTTCTTCCCCTCCTCGCCCCTTCCTTTTACCGAGCCTCTTGATTGACTCTGCATAAGCAGCCTCGCTTAAGTAGACAAATTGCGCTGCCCGATCCACCACCTCTTTCACATGGTCTAGGTCACAAAATAAAGGGGAATTTTCGCCTTCAGCGCCTCCCCCTGACACAGCCGCCATTGCAGGGTCTACATCCGGTTCTTCCCCTCCAAAAGAGGGGCTAGTACTGCAAACCGAGATGTAATGCTGGAGCCTCAAAACCGAGGAGAGGGAGTAGGAGGGGAAGCGGAGGGCTGAAGGGTGGCGCAGCTCCAGGACAAGAGTTGCCGGCCGCATGAATATGGTGTGCATGAGAGTGCTGTCTGTGACTGTAATGAAAAGGGCTGTACGCGAGAAGAGGTTGCGCACTGCAATGCAAGAGGGGGGAGAAGGCCGGGCAGGGGAAGAAAAATGGAAGATAAGGTCAGAAGTGGGATTAGAGTGGGATAAAAGTGACACTGAGAGGACAAGTGCTGTACACAAAAAGAAGTTTTGCATGGGAAAAAAAAAAAAAAAAAAAACACACACACACACACACACACACACACACACATCTGTGTTCCGTCACAAACATGCATGGGCAGCAGCTCGTCACTCACTCACTCACTATCCCCACACTCACATTCTTCCACAGACATGCTCGGGCAGTAGCTAGCAACTCGGTGGGCCGGGAAATGCTGAAGCACAACGTTCCTGATCGCCTCCGCATCGGCCCGATTATGCAGCCCCTGCAATCCCACCACCACCATCCAATCGCTCGGTAACGCCGCCCATGCCACCTCATCCTCCCCCAAATCCACGTCAAGCATGGGCAGCACGCCGGCAAAAAACGGCGTAGGGTAGCTCACGGAAAGTTTTTCCTTGCTGCCCGGATTCTGGGCGGCTTTCGCGTCGTGGATGGCTTGGGAGGAGGCTTGGAGGAAGAGGTGGTGGGATTGGATGACGGAGGGGAGGGAGAGGGAGGTTCGGGGGGAAGCGATGGAGGAGGCTCGGGGGTGGTACGGGTGGTCCGGTTCGAAGAGCGAGGTTCGGATGTCTCGCCAAACCGAGTGCTGAGGCTCGTCACAGTGCTCCGAGAGAGGTTGGACGAGAGACTCGGCGAAGAGGAGCGTGTTGGGCGTGTGGAAGGGGAAAGGCGTCCATGGGAGATCGAAATCGAGAATGCTGGTGAGCATTCGACGCAAACCCTGGTGTGAAGAGGGAGATAAGCCGGGATGGAGAGGGGAACAGGCGATTTTTGAGGCGCCTCAAAAATAGCATTCGACGCAAACCCTGGTGTGAAGTAGGAGATAAGACGGGATGGAGAGGGGAACAGGAGGATTAGAGGAGGGAATAGAGACGGGAGGCAAGGGGGACCGGGGAGGAGCGTGTGGAAGGGGAAGGGAGTCCATGGGAGGTCAAAGTCTAGAATGCTAGCGAGCATTCGATATAGACCCTGGTGAGAACGAGATGATGAGAGGTCGGAGGAAGGTCAGCAACAGGAAGAGTTGGAAGGGTGGGAGGGGAGGTGGACAACGGGTGCTGGGGAGATGGGAACGAAGGAGAGATCCCTTCTACCCCTCCCCCCTCTCTCAACGAAGTTGGGGATTTGTTGCAAATTCCGCCCCTTTCCCCCTCTCTCAAGTGGCATGAATGGCAAATTGATTCCCCTCCTTCGTGCGTGCCACTTAAGTCACCCGCCTTTGTCACAGAAGCAGCAGATGATAACTTTTCCGCTGACCGATTTCTGTGACGACTTTTGAGGCAGCTCAAAAGTCAGATGAAATTTTTGTTGCTGACCGATTTCAATGGCGATTCTCACCCTGGACGACGGCAGAGCCACGTGTGCGTCCTTGAGGGCGGGATTCTTTGTCATCTTGCGCAGGACGTGCAGCAGCGGGAGCCTCTCGATGACCTGGTGGTACGAGCGCTGGTCACTCCTTGCCACCATCAGATTCACCACTGTTTGGTGGGACACGACTGGTGCATCCTTGGGATACATAAACTGCAAAAGAGAGGGAAGGGATGGGGGATGGGAGCAACGAGTGATAGGGCCTCTTGATGACCTGGTGGTATGAGCGCTGATCGCTGCGCGCCACCATCAGATTTACCACTGCTTGGTGGGATACAACTGGGGCGTCTTTGGGAAACTGGAAGGGGGAGGGAGTTGAGGGGGAGGGAAGAGGCAGAGGGGGAAGAGGGGGAAGAGGGTGAAGAGGGGGAAGAGGGGGAAGAGGGGGAAGAGGGGGAAGAGGGGGAAGAGGGGGAAGAGGGGGAAGAGGGGGAAGAGGGGGAGCAGGGAAGGGCTGATGGTGAGGGCCTCTCGATGACCTGGTGGTACGAGCGCTGATCTGGAATGGTGAGAGCTGATCGCACCTCGCGCCAGGTCATCAAGCAAGGCATAAGCACGGCGGTGTACGATCACCCTTTCATCCATCCATCCCCGTTACAAGCATACCTTGGCTTTCCAGTTGCAGCCGCCCGTGTCGAACAGGTGAGTCTTGTTAAACACCTGCCCGAAATGGTTCACAAACACGTCCCGCAAAACGAAAACCTGCCCGGCCCACTCCGCGCGCTCCTCCACCGCGCCTCCCCCCCTGGCCCTCCGCATTATCCCCTCCGCGCCTTCCCCCTCCAACGACCAACACCCGGGGCGCAGCAATTCCCCGGGTAACTTCCCACTCGCGTTCGCCACACAGGCTTCCAGAGGGTTGTTTACGACTTTGTACCGTCTTGCCCGTAAAACTGTTGGGGGATAAGTGGTCGCGCCCGGAACTTTCTTCTTGCGAAAGAGCTGGTACACTAGGTCTTCCTGTTGACCAATGAGAGAGTTCGTTTCGCCCATATACTCCTCGTGCCAACACGCGTCGATTTCTGGTTGGTAGCCGCCGCAAGGTCTCAAATCGGGGCATTTACCCGCTCCTTTGCAGATGTGCCACGAAGGAACTTTTTCCTTCTTGCCATTTTTTGGCTTGCCCGGCGGGTATTTAGTCCCCGGGGGATGTAACTGCGTCAGCCTGTAAAATTTGAGGTTGCTCGAGTGTATCGAAAATGGTAACTTTTGGCGTTGATGTTTCGCAACCGGCTTTGAAACTTTCGCCGCTTCGACAGCACTCGACGCCACGCCGTCGTCGGGACTCCACTCGCCGTGACCGCCGAAACCGTCGCCGAAACCGTCGCCGTGACCGTCGCCGAAGCTGTCGCCAAGATCTGCGTTTCGCACGAGATCAAGCAACGAGCTGGACCGTCTACGACCTAACCCTAATCCTCCTGACGCTTCCTCCTCCTCCTCTTCCGCTTCCCTTAACTGTTCCACAGAGCTATCGTCAGGCGGAGGATAGTCCGCGTCGTCCTCCTGTAACCGCCTCCTTCCGCCACGGCGATTGGTCGAGGTGTTTTCGCGAGCGGCGGCGAAGGCTTCGTCGCACGACGTCGCGAAGGAGAGGCAGTTCGCACAGGTGACGAGGAGGAGGGCGACGAATGGGAGAAGGAACAGGCGAATCGAAGGCGCGCAAGAGGCTGGATTCTTTGCAAGAGCGGTTTTACTCGATCGCGAGGTCCGGAAGATGCGCGGCCTGTAGTGGCTGTGAGACGCTGCCATGGAGCCGAGTCGCGGCTGGAGTACTGGCGCGTGCTTGTGTGTCTCCTGCTCCTGCTTCTGCTGCTGCCCCTGCTTCTGCTTCTGGTTGTCTTGTGGAGTAAAAAGTTGTGACAAAAATCCCCGTCTTCTGATCGTGATTCCTGCCCTCCCTGCCTTTTCCCCCTGCCGCAATCAATCAGGCTGGATTCTGTGTGCGACTCCAACTAGACGCTTGCTGGGATGGGAGGGATGGAAGAATGAAGTGTGTCGACTAAATCCAGAGAACACCATCGGGACCTTCACAAGTTGCGCCCATGTCCTAGCAAAACATCGAGGAGGAGGTAGGTGGGAGCTCTGAAATTTGCGATTTTCAAAATCACAAACGACGATAATGTTGGGTTATTTGCGGTACACCATGGTTTTTAAATGACAAAACGCTGCAACCTTGTGGAAAACCTATTGAACCACACTGGACGATCAAACGGAGTAACGCACTGTGCGTGCACCTTTAACTGTTCGTTTCAGTTCGTGTCCGTAGGGATGACATGTCAACAAGGGCGTGTCAACCCGAAGCGCTTTCGAGCTAGAGTGTCAAATACTGTAGCTGTAGTGTCAAGTCGAAGCGCATGTGCGAACATCAGCGACGCAATTTCATTGGGCGGAGAACTTGTCATTTGTAGACCTCATAGGCAGTGAACGAATCGAAAGAAAGATGATTGGAGAAGGTGTTTGCTGATTGGGCAGTACCTGGTCGTGAGATATGCAGCTGCGACAATCTTCTCTCGTTTGTAGGTTTCAATGATGTGCCAAAACAGAAAGTGCCCGACAATTTGTATTGGCTGGCAACCTGCAAATTCTTGACACTCTGCCAACAATGTTGGCTGAGTGTCAAAATGCCAAATTGACACTGCCCATTTGACATGTCATCCCTACGGACACGACCTCAGTAACGATGTACAAATAAAAACAAGAGAAGTGGTAAATCAACGAAAAAAAAACGGATTTTTACATTGTGGAAACTGACACCATTGCACTGTATTTGCCATTCATTTAAGGTGAAAGATAGAAATCCGACTTTCGCGACCCACAAGCTCAATCAAAGATTTTTGGGGTTCGTTTTTGGGGTAGCTGGGAGGTCGCCCTTGGACAGGGTAGTCCGAAATGAGAGTACCACATTTTCAGATTGATCCGTGATTGGTCACATTCTACGCATGGGTAGTTGTGGCGAGGCGCGGGGACTTGCCACCACCAGTACTTCGCAGACAGTCGCTGAGGTTGGAAGTTACGTTCGCAAGGGGACGCCAGGTGGTTCAGAAGTGTCGCAGAAATATGCTGCCAACCTGGAGCGTAGAGAAAGGTCACCTGGCGAAACGACTGGCCTGCAACTCTGCTTACGACGTTGCGAAACCAAGATGGTTTCCCATTTGCTAACGAGTAGTTTCGTCAAAGTGGGCGAAAGAAAATACGCGTTTCAAGTCCATTCTGGAGGACAAACTCCTGGAAAGTGTACTATGGATTCATCATTATTCCAATTTCGTACTTTCGCAATTTCTCCATTGTAAATTTGTACCTAGGCTCGAATTCGCGCCACGCCACGGCATTGTAGATAGGCTTGAACTGCGCTTGAATCTAGAGATTCCTAGATTCTTGCGGTGCCGCCTCAGCCTAATCGTCCGGTGGACAGAGCAACCCACGATGCTCGCGACGACGACGGCGTCGCGCCGCCAAGCGATGGCCCTTGCGGGGCGCGCGCGGTACGGGATGGCGTGGACTTTCGCCTCTTCGAGGTATTTTCAACCTACTTCCGGGAAGTTTAGTGGAGTTCGACGCTTGATCTTCCGTGGTTACTCCCATCTTCCATATGCAAAGAGACTCCTTGGGGACATAGAAATACATTCGATCATATTCAAGGAGCCAAGTTCCCCTCAGCTATCGAAGCCGTGTCATGCTGTAAATAAGACGTCTCAAGAATAGAGTTACTCTGTTCTCTGTCGTTTCTCGACCATCATCCCAGACCTACCTCCTTGGTTTCCCAATCATTCCGACTAGTCCCTTTTCCAACAGTCGCTTCACCCCTGTTCCGCTTCCCCACTCCTCCCATTCCGCTCCCCCAATTTTCTTCTTCCCCCCATTTTCATCTCCCCCCATTTTCCGCTCTGCCCCACCTCCTTCCGCCGTTCCGCCTAGCAGGCTCCTCTCCTCCCTGGCCGGGCTGAAATTCGCTACAGTAGACCCCGCTGGCCCCATTTTTCCGCTTCCCCCATTTTCCTCTCCTCCCATGTTTCCGCCCCGCCCCATGTCTTCTCGCCCCACCTCCTTCCGCGTGGCAGGCTCCTCTCCTCCCTGGCGGGGCTGGACTTCGCTACAGTAGACCCCGCTTCGCTACAAGCCTCCGACTCCAAGATTTTCAACCTCGGTACAGGAGGTCTTTTGAACTCAGGCTCTTGGAGGGAGAGAGAGGATAAAAAATTGGGCTCGTTTTTGTTAACGGAGTGACTCAGAGCTCCCACTCTTGTTACACGCTCTTGTCACAAGTATTTGCTGTAAATAGCCATGCATTGCCATCTACCCCTTCCCCCCCTACTCCCTCCCCTTCCCCTTCCCCTTCCCCCTCCCCCCTCCCCCCTCCCCCATTCTCCCTCTCCTCTCCCCCTGGCAGTGGGTGGGGAGTGGAAGGGCAGCGAGAGGAGTGCCGTGGTGGTTGATCCATTGAATGGGAAAGATATGATTTCAGTGCCTGACGCACAGGCGCATGAGATTCAGGTGAGGAGGGGGATGTGAGTGTGTGTGCTGTGTACGTGTGTGATGGGAGTGGTTGAGTGATTGTGTGTGAGTGTGATGTGAAGGAAATGCGATGCACAGGCGCACGAGATTCGGGTGAGATATACTCTGTGCGATTCGGATGAACTTGAAGCGAGTTTTGAGGCGCCTAACATATTGCAATACGAATGAGCTTTTGAGAATTCTCAAAAGTGAATCTGCTCAATCCAAGAAAGCGTGAGTCCTCTTCAATATTCTCTATCTCTGGTGGGTTAAAACTTAAAAAAAAATGGAACTCCCATTTGCGCCCACCGCCTCAAATCTGATATCTTTTCCTGCCTGAATTTTTGTTTCATTCCTGTAATCCACCACAGCCATTTGTGGAGAGTCTTTCTCGCTGCCCCAAGTCCGGTTTGCACAACCCTTTGAAGAACCCAAGCAGGTGAGCCCACCCCAGGTGAACCCTCCCCAGGTGAACCCTCCCCAGGTGAACCCTCCCCAGGTGAACCCACTTCAGGTGAGCCCACCCCGCTTAGACCTCCTTGCGTTTTCACCGTCCTGTCTTTCTCCAGAGGTGTCTTCTTGCATCGCCATAACCTCCTCTCATCAAATTCTCGTCTTCCACCCCCACCCCACACTCGCCTTTCTCCTAGGTATCTCCTGTACGGCTCTGTCTCTGCTGCTGCTGCCAACGCACTTAAGAAGCCTGAGGTGAGGTGCAGGCAATTCAAAGGTAAGGTATAAGCATATCCAAGGTAAGACGCCCGCTTTTCCAGTACATACTTTGATATCCTATAAAATCCGCATCCATTTTCCCTTTGTCCTCTCTTCACTTCCCCCTTCCCCAGGTCTCGGACCTCTTTTCTCGTCTCATTTAGAGAATCTTCCCCGAAAGTCTCTTGCAAACTCTCTGTTGATGAGAATTCGTAGCTCCCATACACACCAGGTCTCTTTCCCATTTTCATCTCTTCCCTTGCCCCTTTCCCCCAGGTCTCTCTGACTTCTTTGCTCGTCTCATCCAGAGGGTCTCCCCCAGGAGCCACTTCCAGGCCCTTGGTTCATGTGGTTTTTCTCAACGTTTATGAGTTTTTCTTCTCCCTTCCCCTCCCTTCCTCAGGTCTCTGACTTCTTTGCTCGCCTCATTCAGAGGGTGTCCCCCAAGAGTCTCTTCCAGGCGCGGGCGGAGGTCTCAGTGACTCAGAAATTTCTTGAAAACTTCTCCGGCGATCAGGTGGGCGGCAGGTCAGGTGGGCAGCAGGAGGTCAGGTGGG